CTATGATCATATTTGACCTCGACTTTGATCAGGATCAAATTTAGAGTAAATCCAATTTTTCGTGCCGTGGTATTGACCCAGATTGTGACCAACGTTGACTGACATATAACTGATAGTTGGCGAATATACCACTGACTGTATCATGGTCGATACGTCAACCAACGCCATGAGCATCATTAAGTGGGCTATTGGTCAATGCTAACGTGTGTTGTTCGAGTGGCAAGTGGTATGTTGCCTGATACTTGATTGAGTATTGACTGATACCCGGTCAAGTATCGACCAATATATTGGTCAAGGTCCCCCATAAGAAACATGATCCGATTTTTGGACACTTTCATCTTTGTTACTCTTCAGGTGGCTTACTACAGTTTTTCTGAGACTCAGTAGCGCACGCTATGATTGCCTGCCATACATCAGTATTAATCGGGCATGCAAAAATGACGTACGTAACCCTAAGAAGAAACGAAAACCACTTGAGGATTTGAAAGGCATTAATCACTTTGGTATACCTAGAAATAGTTTCAAACTCCATTCAAACATGTGTTTAAGCCTAGGGCCAAAAGAATATGACGAAAAAGCTCTATAAATAACCGGTAAAAGAGCCCTAATTTACTCTTGCTTTCTCTCATGCGATACATGGCGTCACATGAGTGGGCGCTTAAATAAAGGGCATGCGCAATTGAATTCTCGTCCAAGGTTGTAAAAGCTAGTCTTTGATTAAGGATTGCTCGAAAACCTCCCATAAAACCCATGATGAAATTTTCACGGTTGATTTGTTGGGGTGAATCACCTTTAAACGCAAAATTTTAAAAACATCTGTAAGACAGATTTTGAGCTATTTTTGATCTCACATTTTCTTAGTTTGGAAAAAATCTCTCTTACAGATTTTTATTTTACTTTGTATGAATGTTAAATCAGAGCCAATTTCTTATTCCTGAAATTTTGAAGTGGGGTCATAAGGGTAGATTGTGAGAAAAAACGTAATTTAACCTACTAGTGCCCAGTCTCTTCTTAGGTACTCAGTTGTTCATTTTGGCGATTTGTTGACATTTAATTGTTAAAGTGTCACATAGAATGGTAAAAGACTTAAGCGAACAGTAAATAGAGAAAGGAAAAACATCTTGGAACATTTTTGAAAAGAGTTAAAAGTTGGGCTGTTATAATCTATCAAAACTGTAGTAAGCCACCTTAAGAACCCTATTGTCCTTGACAGAAACTTAAGGGAGACTGAGTGTCAGCTTTTGCCACTAACATTTCTGGGATGGTTTGGATACTAAACATGAGCTATGATTGATCAATGGTTTCCAAAGGCAACAATCGACCAATCATAGCTCACATTGGTTGCCCAATCCATCCCAAGCTTACCTTAAATCTTCCCAAAGTTTCTGTCAACAACAATTAGTTAAAAATGACTTGTGAGGTTTTGGTGTTCGTGGGAATGGAGCAACAATGTGTGGTCCCAGATAATGCCCAGTCTCCCAGAGAGAGAGAGAGAGAGAGAGAGAGAGAGAGGGGGACTGTCTGACCTGTGTCCACCCTCTGGAATTTCCACTTCCCATGAGGAATATAGCTATTTTTTTTTTATCACACAGGTGCTGAAGAATAATGATATTTATTTGCACTTAACCCCTGCTATTATGAACTGCTGTTTCCCTTGAGGGCTCAAATAGACAAGGCTCAACTGTACCAATATTTCATACCAAAAGAGCATAATGCAAGTTAGCTATTACATGAATGAGCTGGCTCCAAGAGCCCTTTGATTCAATCTGCAAGGTATGATAGAAAAAGCACTGGAAAATTGATCTGGATTCTGATGCCACTTTTTGTGTTTCTACAAATCTATAGAAACACAAGTGAAAGTTATGAAAGCCGAGGAGGGACTTCGGACTTCAGAGGTCTGACTTCTGAGTTCCGACTTCTGAGTTGCGACCTCCAATTTCTGACTTCCGAGTTCCAAGTCCCGAGTTCCAACTTCTGACTTCTGAGTTCTGACTTCCAACCTTCCACCTCTGAGTTGCGACTTCCAACTTCCAACTTCAAAATTTGAATGATCAATCTCCGACGTGCAATTTATTTCCCTGGAAATGGGACCAGATTTTATTACTTGATAGTTATGTTTTGGTAAGTTAGTGTTAAGCTGCATTGGGGGTCATTTACTTACTTGTTATGTGAATCTAATTTCACTGAGAAACTAGGAACAGATACTATTTGTGTGCGAACCATGTTGGCAACGCAATGGTATTGAATCGAAGGTGTCGCCAAACAAAGATCGTAGTGAACTGAAACTAACAAATTATGTAGTGCCATTACATATGGATGCTTATTTTATTTATACACAGTTTAGTCACATTTAGTCTTCCCACCTTTATAATGTGTGTATCAGCATGTGCAATCCTTAGTGTTTGGAATTGCTTTTCTCTGGTCAAGAGAAAACTTCACTAGCCCTTCATTCTACATTATTAAATAAAAAATTGCTTTATCTTGTTGCTCTTCTGAGAATTTTCTGCATAATTTTGCTATAAACTCAGATGGAGAGACTGCAGTTCAGTTTTGATTTTTTAATGTTAAAAAGATTTTTGACCAAGCTACTGCCCACCAAAAAAAGCATGCACAACTGAATTGTGAGGAAAAAATTTCATGCCCCAGAAAATTCCCACCCCTTCTCCCTTAAAAGAAAATAATGGTCCGTCACCTTATGATGTAAATAATACCACATCCTGTTGTGCGATATGTTTCTCATTGGGCAGCACTGGAGAACCACTGAATTTTGACTGATACTATTGCTTACTGTTGCTATTGCTTACTATTGGCTATTACTGATACTAAGTAAATAAACTTGTGAAATAGTCTCACCATGTGACTGAGCTCCTTTAAACATCAGAAATATGAATTCTTAACTACATATTGCTTGGCATTAGTGCAGAAATAGTGCTCAGGGCAGAGAGGAGCTCCCTTTTGAGACGGGATGCTCATCATCTCACTTAGGGGTCTAAATTACAGATTTTTGGTGTCCAAGAAGATTTTTGACCCCAAATACAATAGCTTAACACTAACTTAGCGAGACACAATTATACCGGTAATACAATATTGAAATCTGGCTCGAAACCTGAAGTCTGATTTGGTTAAGAATATATGACACAAACAACAGTGATAAACATTGTAATAAACGTCGTGATAGATGTGAATGAATTACTATGGAATTGTGATAAACATTGTATTCCAATGCATTCTTAATCAACCTATGATGGCATAAGAACAAGAGTTTATAAGATTCTGATTTGGTTAAGATTGACTCAATTTCCAAGGTAATAAGTTGCAAGTCAGAAATCATTTTGGATTCAGAAGGTGGAAGTCAGAACTCAGAACTCAGAAGTCAGAAGTCAGAGGTTGGAACTTGGAGGTCAGAAGTCGGAAGTTGGAACTCAGAAGTCAGAAGTCAGAACTCAGAAGTCAGAACTCAGAAGTTGTAAGTCGGAACTCAGAAGTTGGAAGTCCTTCCTTGGATTTCGTAGCAAGTATAGGAGAATACAAAATGCTGTCGGAACACAAGGCACAGGGGAGTATTAAGTTTTCATGGATTAGTAGACGTCAGAGTTTTCCCTCTGGGAATAATGCCTTAGGGCCCACCATCTCATCTTGAATGACCTTTGATCACATCAAATATTGGAAATATGGATACATCAACTTATTTGTTTTAAATATCATTATTTTTTATTAACAGTTTCCCTTTTTAAAATGGCATTACAATACATATGGTACCATGCAATAATTTTAACCTAATACAATTTATTTTCTAAAGGTGACAAAGTTTAGCAATTTTAGCTGGTGAACTATTGTAGTGCACCACCATAGCTAAAGTGTATATTCACATTAAACCAGTATTGTATTGTATGGTATGGTACGGTACAGTATGGTACGGCTGGCTGTTCTGAGCCACAATTCACTTGTTTGTCTGGCACCACTAGACTAATGTCCATCAAGTGGGTCATAAGGGTTGCCATAGAAGGATGTGATTACATCAAATGTTTTTTTTTAAATGCTCAGTTTATGTGGTTGGTTCCATAGGAAATTCTTGATCAGATTGGAAGACAAAGTCCTGGAGAACCAATAAAGACCAGGTATTATTAATAATGTAATTGTATCTCCCTACATTGAATGTTTTTCATGACAAAATATTAAGAACTATTGCCTTCACACATATTCGAGACTTATAGTTTATAAACATTATCTCTCTCTTTCCTAGTGGACAAACACCATCTACAGATGCCTTGATAATGGAACATAAAGTCAGCACACGACTTAAAAGGTAATCAGGTCTTGCAGTTGTTTACTCAATCTTTTTCTGAGGATGATAACAATGTTGTCATGGGTTAAGATTTTTTTTTTTTTTAATAATTTTAATTTACAAAACACAGTTCTACAATACTTACGTTACTTACAATACGGGTCACTTATGCTGGCAATACAATACTCAATACAGTTCCTTACAGAAAATACAATTACTTACTAAAGATTATGGTGTAAGTATTTGTCCACTCTAAAATAACTTAGATATGTAATTGTGTAACAGTTGAACAAAACTATGGTGAGTGTTATTCTTACAGTAAAAATTCCTTATTTAGTTTCTCTTTATCATCAAAAGGAGGATTATTATCAAATTAACCTTCTTGTTTTGATGTGTTTGAAAGACAGGCAGAGAAAATTCTAATGCAGGGCTCCATGTAGTTTTGACTGCTCAAATCATGCACTAAAATATTATAGCCCTGTTTGGGACATTGTCATCTATCCAATGATTCTGTCTTTGAAATGTTGAGGGACAGTTGTAAGTGTGTCAATAACAGCGGATGCTTATATTCAATGATTATATGTACAAAATATTATTTGCCTTTAATACTGTGAAAGGTCACTGAGAAAGGTAACAATAAATGTAGATTGTTCAGAAACTAATTTGTGGACCAAGTGATAAAATTATTTTTATGCTGTCTTTTGGCAACACTCTCAAAGTAAAGTACAGTGGACATAAACTTCCTTCCTGCCACTAGACAGATTTGTGTTTGGTAGTTTTGGCTTTGGTTTATAAATAGCCAACCAGTCAGCTTTCCACCAGTTGGGATTTTTAACAAGTTTCTGTTCATTTTTGTTTGCCTGTTTCAGTGTCCCCAGTTAGTACCGTAGCGTGCACTTAAGAGTCACTGACTGAAAATATCGAGAATGGCTGGCCAGGTTAGAAAAATCGAAAATCCTGAAGCTTTGCCTAAGAAGAACACTTTTAGGGAGCTACTTTCGAAAATATTATTCCAAGTTTCTTAGAATTTAAAGTCTTCAAGAAATCCACTAAAAACGAAAATATAGCTTTTTACCTCATTAAATATGTAAAAAATATCTGGAAAATTGACAAAGTTCTCGGTATTCGCATTGAAACAATTTACAAAACTAGAACACAAGGTAAACTAATATGGAANAACTTAGCATAAGAGCTTTACCTTTCTTCTATCTAACAATAGGAAGTTTTAAATTTTTCAAGCATTTTGAAGGGTTTCGTCGACCGTCGAAGAATTGCCCTGTCAAGCCCCTATGAAAGCGGTAAAAATTGCGTAGTTTTACGGGCTTAAAACACATCTTCGTATGTCGAATGTGGAACTAAAACAAGTACTGTGCAAAAGAGTGTTGTTTCTACTATAATAATATGGTAAAAAAAATTTCTGAGCAATTAAGGTTCACACAGGTAAAATGCAAAAGTTCGCGACAGTCTCTTCTCAAATTTGCATAATGCGGTATGTTCAAAGAACTCTATTGTCGAGCACCCTAGTCGGTTTTTTGCTTCCATTTGTGGGCCATGCTTTGTGGGAAATATACAAAAAGAGAGTTTATCCATGTCGTTATTACAACATTGTTTCATTATTTCACGCAAGGTACATAAAACTACAGAAAAAGCCCAAAATATAAGTTCAAAGTCACATATACTAAACACGCTGGCGTCACGTAATATTTATTTTCAGTTAGCTCCAATTGGAATTACTAGATTATTGACGTTTAGACACTTGCTTTTAATAGAGACATATCAGGGTTTGTCTTTCCCGCTTATATACACTTGATTAGTCTGCAAATATTCGAAAGGAGACTAGTGTTGTAAAGTAAATTTTAGCATGTGTCGATTTTGATCTTGATGGAAAACGGCAGCTGATGCAGGCTATGAATTCAGTTTGGCACGGTACGTAAAAGCACGTCGAAGTCAAGTCGCCCTACACGGCATGCAAACTTTATTCATTCCCCCGGGAAGGGGGCGGAGACTCATATAAAAAGAACGGGGATGCTCGTNAACTCGGGGTAAACTTAGCATAAGAGCTTTACTTTTCTTCTATCTAACAATAGGAAGTTTTAAATTTTTCAAGCATTTTGAAGGATTCCGTCGACCATTAAAGAATTGCCTTCTGAAGCCCCCATGAAAACTGCAAAATTTGCGTAGTTTTACGGGCTTAAAACGCATCTTGGTATGTCTGATATGGAACTAAAACAAGTATTGTGCAAAAGAGTGTCGTTTCTACTATAATAATATGGAAAAAATTTCTGGGCAATCGAGGTTCACACAGGTAAAATGCAAAAGTTCCCAACAGTCTCTTCTCAAATTTGCATAATGCGGTATGTTCAAAGAACTCTATTGTTGAGCACTCTAGTCTGTTTTTGTTCCATTTGTGGGCCTTGCTTTGTGGGAAATATATACAAAAAGAGAGTTGATCCATGTCGTTATTACAACGTTGTTTCATTATTTCACACAAGGTACATAAAACTACAGACGGAGCCCAAAATATAAGTTCAAACACGCTACATGTATAACGTGACTGGCATCACGTAATATTTATTTTCAGTTAGCTCCAATTCAGGAATTACTAGATTATTGAGGTTTAGACACTTGCTTATAACAGAGACATAGCAGGGTTTGTCTTTCCTGTTTATATACACTCGATTAGTCTGCAAATATTCGAAAGGAGACTGGTCTTTAAAAGTAAATTTTAGCATGTGTCTCAATTTTGATCTTGATGGAAAACGAATCAATTAAATACACGAAATGAAACGAAGAGGTTTTGTTAACGTGATCCAGCCAGACCAAGGAAGCAAGTTTTCTTCAAAAATAGAGTAAGACTGTTTGAAATCGAGACTCATATAAAAATAACGGGGGTGCTCGTCATACATTTTCGGGGTTAATNTGTGCAAAAGAGTGTCGTTTCTACTATAATAATATGGAAAAAATTTCTGGGCAATCGAGGTTCACACAGGTAAAATGCAAAAGTTCGCGACAGTCTTTTCTAAAATTTAAAAAATGCGGTATGTTCAGAGAACTCTGTTGTTGAGCACTCTAGTCTGTTTTTGTTCCATTTGCGGGCCTTTACTTTGTGGGAAATATACAAAAGGAGAGTTGATCCATGTCGTTATTACAACGTTATTTCATTATTTCACGCAAGGTACATAAAACTACAGAAAAAGCCCAAAATATAAGTTCAAAGTCACATAGACTAATCACACTACATGTATTACGTGCTGGCGTCACGTAATATTTATTTTCAGTTAGCTCCAATTGGAATTACTAGACTTACTAGATTAATGAGGTGTAGACACTTGCTTATAATAGAGACATATCACGGTTTATCTTTCCCGTTTATATACACTCGATAAGTCTGCAAATATTCGAAGGGAGACTGGTCTTTTAAAGTAAATTTTAGCATGTGTCTCGATTTTTATCTTGATGGAAAACGAGTTAATTAAATACACGAATGGAACGAAGAGGTTTTATTAACGTGATCCAGCCAGACCAAAGAAGCAAGTTTTCTTGAAAAATAGAGTAAGACTGTTTGAAATCGATCCCGCGTTCTGACCACGGTTGGAATTCGGCCTAATCCAAACGTCGCGTTTCTGGCGTTCCGACCTCAAATAAATTTGTTCCGGCAGTGGCAATGACAAGAGAACAGCGGTGATTCCAAACGTCGAGTTCAATCAGTCGTGGAGAAGATCGAAGACGCTTGCTTTGCTCAAGGCCATTTTAAATGCTACAAATATTAGCAACGGCAGCTGATGCAGGCTATGAATTCAGTTCGGCACGCTACGTAGGAGCAAATAACGGGGGTGCTCGTCGTTCATTTTAGGGATTAATCTTCAAAAGGTCCACCGCGAGAGCTTTTGCGGTATCTTTTACGGGCATTGAGCCGAAAAATATGACAGGGGATAATGTGTTATGTAAACGGTTGTCAGTTTAAGCATCGATTTTCCCTCTTTCTTTATTATTTGGAAACTATTAACGCCAAGTAATTGAAGAAACCAACAACGACAAAAAAACGCTGTTAGAAATATATCGAGTAGTCATTCTATGAAGAGACTTTTCAATTTTCGTCAATTATGCAAAAAAGTTCACCTAGCCT